ATTTTTCTACTTTTAGTCCTTCTTACATTCTTCTGATTTCCCTGAAAACACAAATCTTTATTTCCTTTAGATGTTTAATTTTGGCCTCATAAAACATAGAAGATTGTTTTAACCCATCAGATAGCTCAGAGATTATGGATTATGCAGTCATATGTGCCTGTTGCATAGTGTCTCAATCCCAAACTTTGTCCTTACTTAATTTTCCTGACAGCATTTTTATCAGGAAGTCAAATTGTCTAAATGTTGCATAATGTATGGTCTGTGTTTTACATGGAATTACTTAATTCCATTTTGCTCTTTCAATGAAATTTCAGGAGAAGGAGGCCAGATATGAATTTGATTTATGTGATACAAAGGAATTAATCTATTCAGAAGAGGACATGATGCATTCTGAAAAGTTTTTGATGCAACCTCTTGAAAACCAGAACAAGACAAACATGCCATATCTTACCAGTCCTATTCAAAATAGTAATGGAAGTCCTAGCCAGAGAAATATGGCAAGAGAAAGAAATTAAAGGTATCTAGATAGGAAGAGTGGAAGTTAAACTATCTCTGTGTGTGAATAAGATTTTACACCCAGAAAACCTCATAGTCTCTACCCAAAAGCTCCTTGATCTGATTAGCAACTTCAGCAAAGTTTCAGGATACAAAATTATTGTAGAAAAATCAGTAGCATTCCTATACACCAACAACATCCAAGCTGAGAGCAAAATCAATAATGTAATCCTTTTCACAATAGCCACAAAAAACAACAAAATACCTAGGAATACAGCCAACCAGGGAGGTGAAGAATCCTACAACAAGAATTGCAAAACACTGCTCAAAGAAATTAGAGATGACAAAAACAAATTGAAACACATTTTATGTTCATGGGTAGAAAGAATCAATATTGTTAAAGTGGCCATACTCCCTAAAACAATTTACAGATTCAATATTACTTCTATCAAACTACCAATGACAGCCTTCCAGCATGATGAAAAAAATGTTTTACAATTCATATGGAACCAAAAAAGAGTCTAAATGGCCAAGGCAATCATAAGCAAAAATAACAAAGCTGAAGACGTCACATTATCTGACTTCAAACTACATTACAAGGCTACAATAACCAAAACCACATGGTACTGGTACAAAAACAGACACATAGACCAGTGGAACAGAATACAGAACCCAGAAATAATGTTGCACACCTACAACATGTGGTCTTTAGCAAAGCTGATGAAAACAGGCAATGGGGAAAAAGACTCCTTATTTAATAAATGGTGCTGAGATAACTGGCTAGCTATTTGCAGAAGATTGAAACTGGACCCCTTCCTTACATGATATACAAAAATCAACTCAAGATGGATCAAAGACATACATGTAAAACCTAAGGCTGTACAAACCCTGAAGACACCCTAGTCAATACTATTCCCAACATAGGGCCAGGCAAGGATTTTATGATGAAGTCACCAAAAGTAGTTGCAAAAAGAGAAAAAATTGGCAAATGGAACCTAATTAAACTAAAGAGCTTCTGCACAGCAAAAGAAACTATGAACAGAGTAAACAGACAACCTACAGACTGGGAGAGAATATTTGCAAGCTGTCTATCCAACAAAGGTCTAATATCCAGAATATGTAAGGAAGTTAAACAAATTTACAAGCAAAACCCAAACAATCTCATTAGAAAGTGGTCAAAGGACATGAACAGACACTTTTCAAAAGAAGACATTCAAGCGGCCAAAAAGGGAATGAACAAATGATCAACGTCATTGATCGTTAGAGAAATGCAAGTTAAAACCACAATGAGATACCCTCTGACACAATCAGAATGGCTCTTATTAAAGTCAAAAAATAAAAGATGATGGCAAGATTTTGTAGAAAAAGGAACACTTACACAATGTTGGTGGAATTGTACATTAGTTTAACCATTGTGGAAAGCGGTTTTGGGATCTCTCAAAGAACTTAGAATTAATATTTGACCCAGCAATTCAATCACTGGGTATATCTGGGTATATATCCAAATGAATATAAATTGTCCTACCATAAAGACACATGCATGCGTATGTTCATTGCAGCACTACTCACAATAGCAAAGACATAGAGTCAACTAAAATATGCATCAAAAGTAGATTGGATAAAGAAAATGTGCTACATATACACCATAAAATACTATACAGAAAAAAAAAGAAAAAAGAACAAGATGATGTCCTTTGCAGCAACACAGATGGAGCTGGAGGCCATTATCCCAAGGGAACTAACCCAGGAACAGAAAACCAAATACCACATGTTCTCACATAAGAGTGGGAGCCAAACATTGAATGCATATGCACACAAAGACAGGAACAACAGACACTGGAACTTACCTGTGGGTGAAGTGTGGGAGGAGGACGAGGATCAAAAAACTGCCTCTCTGGTATTATGCTTATTATCTGGGTGACAAAATAATCTGTACCCCAAACCCTGCAACACACAATTTAACTATAAAATAAACTGGC